TTTTTTATTCGTGTTCATTCTTGAATGACATTTCTTTTCGTTTGATTAATGAAAGACCTATGGCTAAATGTTAGGTATATCCCACAAATTTGTTTAGTGGTAATCTTACTTCTCCTGGAGTTCCCTGATGATTGTGATCTCTATATCATTGCATGAAGGCATACAATCGCACACCAGCCCCGGTCTCTTGCGCCAAGGTGGTTTGAGGTCAGTGAGAACAGATTTGTTTGAATGGAGACAGGCCAATCCCGTTATGTTGCAATGATTATTTTCGGCTGTAACGTAAATAAATATCTTTGTTGATGAGCAAAGTTCCTTTTAGGACTGTATGGCTGATGGGGGCTAAGCGAGTAGGATTTTTCTAACCTAGCGAGGTAGCAGACGATCCTGCGCTTGCACTTACTGAGCCACCACAAAACGGTTTATCAGGGTTGAAGGACTTGCAGTTGCAAAAAGTCGACAATCTTACTTCGTTGTGATTGTGCGCTCCCTCTCACTTGATTGATTTTTATCTAACACGCTTTGGACATTGGAACACGACGAATTTTTGGATTTACTCTAGCGCGGCAATAATAAACAGCAATAATAAGGGGGCACCCTTGCACCTTGTGAAGTACTTTTATACCTGAGCCCCCTATGTAGGATCTAACTGACTTAATTAATTCCCTAACTTAATTAATTAAGTTTAATAACTAAAAAACCCCGGGATGGAATTTGATGCGCTTTGGCACAAATGATCATGACTATAATACCTTTCAAACAAATAAGTTTAAGCCGTGGCGGACGTGGATGCAGCGTCCATACATTTCTGCCTTAATCATTTTGAGTTTTGTACAACAACTTCCGTGAAAAAAACAGGCTTCAGAAAAAGAACATGCTCCATGAAAACACACGTTTTTCTTTTCATGAATTTTTCAACGTTTTTCCTTTACTACACTTAGAAATAAAACTGTTCTTATGCATCTCTAGGCCCATTGCGAATTGGTGGGAAGGATACTTTTTTGATGGAATTGAGATTGGACCATGACTCGCGACGCGGGCCCAGTGCGGAGCCCAGTGCATTGGTGGGTGGGTTGTATTGTATTGTGGGTATAATAAGTATTTTTAAATTTGCCCAAATCCAGTTTTCCACGACACTCACGCAGTTTTTTTTTAATAATAATTATGTGTATTTAATGAAGAGATCAATGGCAATGGTTAACGCATTTGGTCTGCAACCGTGGAAGTAAGCAACTTTCAAAATGACCGGTCATAAGATGGAAGGCCAAAAATGTTATTATCTCCAAGTGATTTTCAGCTCCTCCGTACTGCGGAAGGCACGATAAGTAGTTAGTCCGGGCTGCATCTGCAGCCGCTAGCACTAAACAATACGTACTGGGCTGGAATGCCGAAGTTACTTATTTAAAAACACGAGAGTTTAAGAAAGAAAGAAGAAAATCATTTATTGGTTACACAGCATAGGTAGGTACATTAAAACAAAACAGAAAATAAAAAAAAAATATAACCACAAATAAAACCAAGAAAACTAAATTCAGGTGCTACTGTGCAGGGCCAACAGGTCGCTGTCTCAGCTATGCTACTGTGGTAGTACTTTCGCAATACCACAGCAGCGCTGATTTTCAGCCAGCGCCTAGTGATGCCCGAAACTGCAAACTAATTGCGACTATACATACTCGCATCTTGTACGAACTACAAAATGCGAGTGATTTTAAATAAAAGAATAAAAACGTCAAATAATAAATGTTGTTCTATAAATAAAATAAAATAATGAATAATACTTATAATTAAAACACACTACATCTATGGTGGAACTACATTTTCCCGCCGCGCCGTACCGCGACACGGCTGCAACCTGCAACGCACCAGAGAACTACTAATCTGTGCCTTCGTTAATCTATGGCAGATTTGACATGGTGCCATGGTACATGGACTTTGATTCTGCATGCCACGTAATGGCCGCGCGCGCAGAGTTTGTTGTATTTTACGTGGCAATTCTTGATAGAACAACAATAAATCCGTGCCATTTTGAATGAGCGGACCAAAAATGAAAAACCATGGTGCACAGTGACATATATGGAGTTATTAGAGCAGCGTGAAAACATTAATGTAAGTATTTTTCAAAAAACAATATTATGTGCTTTATGTTTAATGTTATAATATGGTTTTTTTCAAGAACTCAAGATTGTTAATATTGCTGATATCCTACACGTAGGTGGTCTCTGTACAACGGATAATTTAAATTTAAAACGAGCTATCTTCCATGAAATGAAAATAAAGGCTAAAAGATTCAGCCAAGAACATTCTGCCATTGCGTCACTATATTCCCACCTGCAACGACATGAGGTATGCCTTTAAGTGTTTTTTCAATGAATACTTTGTTTTTAGGTCACGTATGGGTGGTGGAAGGTCATTCCAGCATCGGGAGGCAGCAAATTTAAAAGAACCCCTAAAAGCCACAGTGCGATGCTGGGGCGTCAAGAAGACGTGTGTGCATACACGTCTTTGGTATTTGAGAAGCTCCTGCAACCAAACCAGCTTGACATACAGGTATTTTGGTTTCTTTGTTTTATAACACCAAACAACATAGTTGCAAGATGAAGTTTTCGACGTGATTCCATTTTTAATAGGTTTGCTTTGTTTAGGAACGGTGATATATATGAACGTGGTGGAACGTGAAAACAATAACGAGCGCATGCATTCTGCACTCGCTGTATCATTTTAGCAGACCTGGACAGAAGACATGGACCACACAACATCGCAATAGTTGAGTTTGGAGAGAACGAGTGATTCGCACAGCCTAACCCTCAAAGTCTCACTTATGTATGGCCTAATCTTATAGGTTTAAGATTTTTATATATAGAATCTCGTTGCTCGCTATTAACCTTTTCCTCATAAATCAATTCGTGCTTTTTGATAACCGAATCGTGCCGTAATTTTAACATTTACAACAGGTTGATCCTAGTTGGTATTATAAGTTGAATAAGGCTTATTATAAAATTAAAATCAGTTTAATAACATACAGTGCTGAAAAATAACTACTGGGTAATTCTTTTAAAAGTGTTTCTCCGCGCAACTTATTTGTCGTCATATTCAGTATTTAGAAAATATTAAATTCTTATACTAAAGAAGACTCAAGACCTAATAAGATAGAATATCTATGAAACATGTAAATGTAAATTATAATATAAAATTTCGCGATATTTAAATATGTGTCCATGAAAGTCAAGCAACTAACTTGCCGCTACTAAAATAAGGACAAATTTAAGCTAGAAATTATCCTCTAGTAGTTCGATAATTCGTAGAGTAACTGCAAATACTGGAAACCAGTGCCAATTCTGGTTTCGAACTGTTGAAAAAAAGTTTTGAACGTTTTTTAATGAATGATATGAAGACTAAATTAACTGCCTTAAATTACTATGTGTATTAGTTTCTGAAAAAAGTTGATTGGTATACGGATGAACTTGGAAAAAAACCAAGGCCATGTTCAATGAACATGTTCTACCGGAACCGATTGCAATACACGGTGCCGCTCTCGAAGTTGTTCAAAAATATGTGTAACTCGGGCAGACATTGCCCAGTTAGGTAGAAACAACTTTGAGGACGAGGTGAATAGAAGAATTCAGCTAGGTTGGGCAGCATTTGGGAAGCTACGTCAAGTCCTGACATCGTCGATCCCAAAGTGCCTAAAGACGAAAGTCTTCAATCAGTGCGTCCGAACCTGTGATGATATACGGAGCCGAGATGTGGACACTGACGGTGCGGCTGGTTCACAAGTTCAAAGTCGCTCAGCGCGCTATGGAAAGGGCTATGCTCGGCATTTTTCTGAAGGATCGTATTAGAAATGAGGTAATCCGACAGAGAACCAGAGTTATTTAGTTACATAGCTCGGATTAGCAAGTTGAAGTGGCAGTGGGCTGGCCATATTTGCCGAAGAACCGATAACCGTTGGGGTAGACGAGTTCTGGAGTGGAGATCGCGTCTAGGCAAACGTAGTGTAGGACGACCTCAGGCACGATGAAGTGACGCTTTGCGCAATATGGCTGACAGGAGTTGGATGCGAGTAGCCCAAGATCGATCTGAGTGGCATGCAATTGGAGAGGCCTATGTCCAGCAGTTGACTAGGATAGGCTGTTGATGATGATGAAATATCACTAATTTTTATTAAAATTGTATACAAATATAAACAAAGAATAATTAGGTATTGATTCGAAGGCTACATTTACAATAGGTTAGGTATAATAATCGTGTGACCGCAAAAAAGGGTCCTCGAAAAACTACTCGTAATACAGGTAAATAGATTTTGCATCAGTGAAGATGCTAAGTCGGCCTTGGTACACAGACAGCCATTGTTGGTCAATGTGCCAGATTAGAGTAAGGACATAGACAGGCCCCTTTGATTCTTTCTGTTATGTAACATGTACGTATTGGTAATTGCCGTGAATTTGTATTTCTATTCTCTCTAGTACTCAATACCAAGGTTTTTTTCACGACATTCCATGCGCAATGAGAGATTGTCGAAACGTTTTTAATCCAATTTGAATCTTTTTTTTTTCAATGCATTTACAATTTTTTTCTAGTCCTGTTCTTGGAGCCAACAGCCGATATTGAAGGTATTGCATCAAATCAACAGCCTTATGAAGGTATTGCATCAAATCACATCAAATGCAATTAAAAGTTAAAAGTTTTTTTAAAGAAGTTGTATGCACAGGAGAGTAGTCTCGTTTTACTAGATGATGTCAATAGATAATAATAATATTTTCTGCCTGTTACGTTTCCTTGCCTTATTAGCTGCTGAACAGATTTTAAAGAATGATGGTACCTAGATAGTATAAATATCAACCATATAATAAAAACAAGTAGCGTGATATTTATAATGTTCAACCGTTAGGAAACAGACAGAAAATATTGTATTATCTATTGACAAAGAGATTTGAGGAGATATTCATGAGTAGATTATGAATTCATCTATATATGTTTTAAGTATTTCATTATTCACTCACCTACGCCTGGCATAAGGTGGTCATTGCATTGGCAAATATCCATTTGTGCTTTCTTCCGGCACTGCACTATGCATGCGCTATATGAGTAAAAGGGGTAATAGTTTTCCTTATCATTTTCGGTGTAGAACCGACATCCCCTCTGTGCGATTGTTGTGTGCTCTGTCAATGGATCATTTTCAATTTGTCTCACTGTCATATGTCGGCTATAACAAATGCGAAGAAATTGAATACTGTACCCTAACCTAACCTTTTATTAAAATTTTGTTACAGTCCATTAAAATAATGGTGTGTTTCCATGCTTACCAAGGTTCGATGAGCATCCACAAGTCCTAGCGTCCACAATTCTCGCTTGGCATTTAGAAGTCGTTTGCACGCTTGTGAATGCGTCAGTGTGCTACGCACATCCAAGCATGGTGGACACCGAACTTGTATCGGCTATTAAGTTTGGTTTAACCTACTTTTCTTTTATGTTTAAGCGATATATGACCACGAAGATGGTGGATGATAAAGATGCATAGAAATTACAAAAATAGTTTTCAGTTTAATTGGTATTTCGGTGACCATTATCTGTGTCAGTTATGTTATCCCACAATGTATATATATATGTATATATATATATATTATAGTGCAATAATGTATTTAATAACTAAATAATTGCTTTCATTTGTGAAATGTCGGAGAGTTCGGTAACTTCTGCCGCATGGGTTATGCTGATTTTGAGTTTTTGCTGCAGAAATTTTTACAAATGATTTACAAGCAAAATACTGACTATTATATAAGAATTATAGCGATAAATAAAAATCTTCGAAAGCTTTAATTGGTATTTCCGTAGAAAAGCCTCGTTTATAATGTTGGGTTCCGGCGGCGCAGGCTTGATGATTTATTCTAAAATCGATAAACTCACTTCTTCTTGAAAATGAGTGGCTGGTTCGACCAGCCTATTGAAGACAGGACTAGACGTGCGTTGGTCGAAACGAGCGAGAAAACAGCGGCTACTAAGGGCGCGCTAATGTGTGAACGTTTCGCAAGCGCTTGCCGCAAGCGCCATTTGATTTGTGTCAAAAAACCGACACTAGACAGGATCGGATACAAGCGTCCACAAGCTCACGCAAGCCAAGCCAAACCACCTTTTTACACGGTTGTGCATGTGGAAGCTTGCCGAGCCTTGGCAAGCATGGAAACGCGGCATAATCATACTTTCTACACAAACGTTTATTATGTATATTTTACGCTCAAAGATCGAAAACGCTCAGTGAGCGGAAAAATAGCTCACAACGCGTTGTGGTCACAGTAAAACATTCACATGGCGAAATTCGTATTATGGCTCTATTGAAAACGCGCACGACGCGTTGTGGCAATCACAGAAAGACCAAATAGCGAAATTCGTGTCGTGGCTGACATGCTATTCGAAGAAAAGAAAAGCCATGACGCGTTCTGAGCATTCATTGTTTTAACCATTATCATGACGGACAGGTTGTAAGTTGAAAGAGGACGTGCAGCACCCAGAAATGTTATGTGTGTTGTTATGAGCATTAATCCATCAGGTATCTACCAGTTAGGAAACAAGGAAGGTACATTCGATAGACTTTATGCACGTAATGAGTTTACACTTTCTGAAACCAACTTTATTAGCATTTGCAATGTGCCCTCAACTTCGTCATTAACACTTCGCTCAGCATCTATGTTATCATCTGGAAGTAAGCAAGGGTTTATAATGTGCCACTGCAAAAGATACTGTATTGATAAAAAGTGCAAGTATCGCTCCAAGAATATAAAATGCAACTCAAAATGCCACAGTAATAGTTCCTGTAAAAATAAATAGCAATCAAATACTTATTTTTTACAAATAAAGAAATTTCTAATATAAGTTATTGATTTAAGTACATTGTTGTTGTTTATTGGTGATCAATAAACATTTGTTTGTGTTAAATATTTTTATTAAGTGAAAGAATTTCAAATTGTCATAAAAAATTAAAACCCCTAATTATTTTAAGTGAATTATAAGTAATTTAGAAATGATTAATATTTTGTTTTCAGTAATTTAATACTTTAATACGTTGATTTTTTTAAATATAAAGTAATCTCAATAAATAACTTTCATTAGAGCCATAACACGAATTTCGCCATGTGAATGTTTTACTGTGACCACAACGCGTTGTGAGCTATTTTTCCGCTCACTGAGCGTTTTCGATCTTTGAGCGTAACATATACAATTTGTTTTGTAAATAGTAATGTCTATTCCATTTATACAAAATTTATACATAGTTCAAGTGCTTACAGAAGATGGTCCGAACCTAAGCCACTATCTATTTTGTATTTAAGCTTCGTCGTAACAGAAATTAATTGGATCTTTCGCATACAGGCATGTCCAAATATAACCCGACCAATTTTCTATTTACTAATTACAGAAATAGGTACTACTGATAGCATTTTTTGGCTGCTGTCTTTAGATGATTATAAGATAGAGATTAATTCATTACTTTAAAAATAGGCACTCCGATTATCCTTTAGGCCGGGCGCACACTGCCGAAAAAGTATGCGACGGATTCGTCACTTTGAATTGGGGAGTACGAAATGTGCAAAACGTGCACAGTAGCATAAGTCATGGCATGGCATCAATAAAACTTGGTCTAACATCATTATACTCAGACAATAGTATTTTTTCGGTGTAGGTACTTAATTATTAAACTATACCAAAATACAAAATAGAAAGCCTCTCTGAGTTTATTTCGCCGGTTCTTCTCAGAAAGGTCTCCCTATTTTGGAACCGGTGGTAGTTTACGGTAGTTAGGGTCAAATGAATAAACTCAAAATTACAAAAAAGAATCTTAATAAAGTACTTTATTAACTAAATTAACTATTAAATTCATACATCGACAATAAAAAATTTAAAAATCTTCCAATGAAATAACCGAACGCTCAATAAAAGTCTTTCGAAGGTAGCTCGACAAAATTAAATAAAAAAAAATGGTTGCCTGTAAAGTCGGTTTTACGGGCGAAGATTTTACGTGACAACGTCTTTTTCTCGGTAGAATATTTATTGATATGAATATAATTAAATTGCACAATAGGAACAAGGAATTGAATGAAAATAAGAATTGCACAAATTTTAACTATAGAAATATATTTTGTTTACTAAAACATTGTACATGTAAACTTAAACTTAACACGAGAGACTCATCGTAACGTTACCGAGCGTTACACTTTTTCATAAGTGACTCCCAGCCGCAACCTAATTTAAGACGTTTTCACGTCAAAATCAGTATTTTGACGATGCAGACCTGAAAAGGCTGCGAAACGTCAATAAATAAATAAAGTTTCGTGCATTAACCCGTTAAAATTAAGTAACTAAGTTTTATTTAATGAGTGATGTGCGTGAAAACCTAAGAAACAAATATATACCAAAATACCTATAATTGAATCCAGGTTGTATACTGAGTTTAGCTGCCCGTTGTGTTGCCAAGCACGGAACTTCTTCTGGTCCAATAGTATATATCTATACAAAAAAAAAACTTTACGAGTTTACGGAATATCTTAGCATAGACTATTTTTGTGACAGATCAAGTCGCTATGTAAAAGCTGACATAGAACATGACCACAAAATAGACAATACAGAGTGCGCTAGAGCAACACGCACATAGACACCGCTCACGAACACGATATCTCGAACCACTACAGCCGACTTGCGAGCACGAGTGTCATCCGCTTGAGACACGCGGTTGTGAACTTGTTTGTGCAAAAATGGAGGAACATAAGCAAGTTTATATATCTGTTCAGTAGGCGGTTTTTTAATTCAACATGAAGCAGGGTTTTATTTTAATCTACTATATAAAAATAAGTCGGGTTTTCCTTCCTGACGCTATAACTCCAGAATGCACGAACCGATTTCCACGGTTTTGCATTCGTTGGAAAGGTCTCGGGCTCCGTGAGGTTTATAGCAAAGAAAATTCAGGAAAAATTAAAAAAAAAATCTTCTTTTAATCACCAAACGAAATGTTACATAAAACGAAGCCATCTGATGGCGAAACGGAGTTCGCCTGGTTTGCTAGTTTGTAATATAACAAAAACATTAGAATTGAAATGATGTAGTTATTATTTGTTTATTTATATATTATTTTATACGAGTACCACTACCGTGATATTTTTTGTACCTACATAAGCCAATGTCGACAATCCTAGCCGAGCATCAAAATATACACAGTTATAGTGTTCCCCAAGTACCGGTACCTACTAATCCGGGAATCTCATCTACCGAGGGGTGACGGCTACCCAGGCAACCTACTTGCTGCTTGTGCTGCAACGGCTACCTACCTGAAATCCTGCTGGCGCATCCTACAACCTCAGGACAGTGATTATGGAGCGGACTTTATTGCACGTATCGGCTCGTGAAATGAATATACTTACCCACACCCTTGTTTTCTACTGGTCTATGTGCCTACATCTAATTTTAATAAATAATTGTAATTGTACAAATCTAGTATTTTACTATCAGCATCTAATAGGAGTGTTACACCATGTTTCTATTTATTTGGGTGCTACGTTTTCGTGAAAAGTAATCCAGATCTTTTTAAAGTAACAGAACAGACTCATAGGCTCAGTCTTCGCCGTCGGAAACCTCAGATTTGTACAAACATGTGTAAAACAGCTCTTATGAAAAAAGTGTTGTAGAATCGGCTCCCAAAGTATATAATAAATTACCTCCGGTGCGACACTGTCACTTATGCAAAAACATTTTTTTTTCAGGATGAGCGTTTAAAACGTTAACATCCCAAAACATACAATATTTAAAGATTTTTACGTGATGAAAAGCTTATAAAGCTTAGCTATTCATCTAAAAGAATTAAAAAAAAAAACTTTAAATATTGTATGTTTTGGGATGTTAAAGTTTTAAACGCTTCTCCTGAAAAAATGTTTTTTTTGCATAAGTGACAGTGTCGTACCGGGGTGCGATATAATAAAAATACATTTGGAAAAAAAATAGTGGATAGGTGTTATTATAGTGTCAATGATTTTTTAACGGATACTGATGTATAGAGTTAATTTTTATTTTAGATTTGATAGATTAATGTATTGATTTCTTTTATGATTATGATTTTATTTTACTTAAAATTATAATAATATCTGTAATAATGAGCGTTTAAATATGAATTTTAACAACTGGTTGTTACCGATGACAACGAATAAATGATTTGATTGATTGATT